AGCTGTGTGCATTGGATATATCCTAGAGAAAGATAATTTCGTAGGACAAGTGTACAACATTCAAACACATGGTTATACGTACCATAACATTATAAATATTAGAAAAACGTGGATAGCATTTTTATAACGCCAGGCGTGATTTCTTCGTTTTTTAGACTTGTACGCAAGAGTCTATATCATAACTAATAATAAAATTATTGTGCATTATTTCTGTATACATAATTTAAAAAGAAAGTAAAAGAATTAAAAGAAAAATTTGTTTTAAAGATAAAAATAATTATATCATTTCCTTATTTTTTGAAAAATAATAATGATAAATAAAAATAACCGAGGAATAATTACAAAGGTAAAAAAAAAAGAGTTATATATATTTTTTCTTTCCCACACATATCCATTCCGTTTTGAATCCAGTGGAATTACTGGGAGTGCTTAAAAACGGAGGAGAGAAACGTGCAAGGCCTTGAAGTAAAACAAGGAGAAGAAGAATTCATCAAGGGATTTGTTTCCCCTTTAGGCCTCGTTTATTTCATTGGAACCATTTTAAGAGAAATGGAACTGGAAAAAGAATAGGAAATGTAAATATAAAAGGAATAGAAATATATTTTAAAATTTTGTTTGGCATGATTAAAAAAAAAATGGAATCATCATATTATTTTTATTTGATTTGTGTTTAAAATATAAAAAGCCAACAATGCCCTTATCTTCTTCACCTCCTCATTCTTCCAATTGAGGGGGCTATTCTAAAATATTATTTAGCATATCTTTTTTTGTATTGCAGGGGGCTATTGGAAAAATAGCCTACCCTTCAAAAAAAAAAAAAACCTTGACATTAGAAAATGGTTATAGCTATAACGGTTCATTTTGGCCTTTTATAAAGGACAATAATAACCATAGTCATCCTCTAGGCTATCTAGGATGGTTATATATATAACTGTCTTTAAGGCCTTTTTATTTTTAGATTTGACCAAAATTAAAACTTTATATAGGATCATTATTTAACGATCATTATTTATTATTTTCAATATAAGACAGTTTAATAACCATCATATATAGCTTGAGCAATAGAGGATGGTCAAATAGAAGATTGTTATTAACCATCATCTATTATAAAAAACAATCATTCTCTATAATCAGATCTGTTGTAGTGTGAGTTTAGTTTAGAAGAGCATGTTTGAAATTGTGATATTTTAATAAGGACATAATGGTCCTAATATTTGGGTTTCAAGGAAAATTGAAGTTTCCTTGGCTCTGCCTTAGGAGCCCAAATTCTGGCCTCTTCCTTTAAACTAGCTTCCTCGGAATCAAGTTTCATTTCAAGCAAATAAAGTAAAATTCATTTTTTGTTTCCTTTTCCTTTTTGTGATCCTATTTTCCTGTGAACCAAACGAGGCCTTAGGTCCTCATTTATTAATTAAGAAAAGAGACCAGTTAGTAGCCAAAAAACGCGCGTATTCTCTTCGTCGCAGCTTTTGGTGAAAAAGATGCGGAGAACCAACGGGAATCAATTCATGCGACGCTTTATATAACAATTAGAAAATGTCCATTGCCCCGTGAGGTTTTGTTTAAAATTTTAGCCCGGGGTGTTTTTATCGCTTTTTAAAATTTAAAAATAAATAATTTTTAAATAATTTAAAGATTTTATAAAAAATTATTTTATAATGATTTATAAAAAGCAAATATTATTTTGCCTTTGGTTACAATAATAAAAAAAATTATTAGTTAGTTAAATACTCCCTCTCTCGTTTACCGTATTATATTATATTATATTTAGAAGCTATTCAAAGTAATTTTTTAAAATAATTAAAAATATTTTTTTGAGATTATTATTATTTTTAAAAATTTAAACAAATATAATAAAACTCTCAAAATAATTTTTTTTTAAAATAAAGCGATGTTTTTACGAAATAAGCCTGATTTAATTAAAGAACTAGATTTATTCCCATGCATCGAATGTTTCAGTCTTTAAAGGATAAAAAATATAAAAGTTAAAAAATTATTTTAATGTACTTGTATTTTATTATTTCATGTCAATTAAAATTTAAACGATCATATATTTTATTTTATTTTAAAATTTTTTGCCCCTGTGCACATTAAAATATAAATAATAAAATAATTTATTTTAAAATGTGTTGTCCCAGCTAAATTAATTTATACTCTGCAAGTTGGAATAGGCATATCTCATTTTGATATTTAAAACCTAAACAAATCTTGTTTAAGATGGATAGTCATTATATTTTACTCAAAATATAAAAAAATTATCCTTCCAAGATGTGTTATTCCCAAGTAAATTAAAAATTAAAATCTTGAAAAAGTTCATTTAGTTAGATACCCACTTTTTAACTCTTCATATAAATTAAATTTATAATTTCATTGCATGTCCAGTTCCTATTATTTTTCGTCAAAATCTTGCATCCATTACCACTTTTTATTCAGTTTTGCGTGATCTATTAAAATATAAAATTTATAATTTCACTGCAAATCTCACATCTATCATTTTTACTAATTCTCACCCTACGCCATAATTTCATACTACAAGTCCCACATTTTTTTTTCTGTTATAGGTTCCACGCCCATTTCTTTTAAGTGGGGCATGTATCACATATGGATGATCAAAAAGTGCATCTCATCACTCAAACTGGAAACAATCATCATATCATATCATACACTTTGTAAATTACGTTGAAAGCTGTAGATCTCTGCAGTGCTTTCAACATTACCTTACAATTTTTTTTTGAATTTATAAAATTTTTGAAAGGAGTTAGTGGGACTTGTGTATACGTTAATTAATCCTACCTTTGTTTCTTGCCTGCTTTGTCTCGCGTATGCGATAGGCCGGTTTATTTATATATGTCATCGTATGCTTAAATAGTATTTGACAAGTTAATACAAAGTGATGACCCAACTAGCTACCTGCATGTTATTGATAACTAAGGAAGCGTGCAGCCTGGGAAACATATATGCATGCCATGAAACTTGTTGCACCGTCTCCACCAGAGCCGGGGGCACGGTCTATTTCTGTAACAAATCCCGACAGAATTAATATGATCATTCTAGTATAACATTGGTATATTGCATTACCTATTGATGCAGCAAAGAGAGAGATATGTGATTGAATTATTTCGGGAAAAATAAGAAGAAACAACTACACGCTCATATATTTATATGCATGGGAGTGCCTGTAAATTAAACCTTGTTATTCCTCCATTTTGGATAACACTGGCAGAAGATTGAAAACGTATTGGAAATTTTGTTTTTAACCGACCAATACATATGCAATCGTTTTAATGACGAGGAAATTGCTAAAAAGGACCGTCAGGAAACATTATTTATGCAATATCAACAAACTTTATCCTTCAAGTAATTTCTCATTTAATTTTAATTCACTTGTAGAATCTTAATCTTTTTTTTTTTCAAATCATTTTATTGTCCGGGTTCATCTAGCAATATTAGGGTTAAAAATAACAAAACAAACAGTGGCGTGGCGCAACCGTAGAAACTGACCATTTTGACCCAAAACGAGCTGTGAAAACTGACAAGTGACATCTCTAGAATGATCGTAACGGGACACACTTTTTTTTTTTCCCGAATTTAACCAGCAATAGCCCTATGGCAATGGAGCTCCATCTTACCCCAAAAAAAGAAAAAGCTAGAATTTTTAGGGAAAATGGTATTTAAATATTTATATATCATTTTAAATTTTAAAAATTAAAATGTGTGTATTTATTAAAATTATTTTTTATATTTTATAAAAGTATCATTAGTATTGTTATATGTTATTACTTATATTTTAAAATATTTCAAATATCGAGCTATATAATTATTTAAAAAGAATATTGCTTCGAATAAATGTATAAGCATTTGTTTAAAATGTATTAACGTCATTCATGAGAACACAACGAATTAGTGATCTATGGTAGCATTTTCACTCTTTCATCCGGTAGCTAGATATGGATATATAAATGCTAACTTGTTGAGAGCGCCAGCACCCACTGGCCTTTTTTTAATGAAACCACCCACTAACATTTAATACAGTAACAATTTATGACTTCCCTGAGGATGTCCAACTAACAGCAATTTAATGTATTAATAAATTACAAGCACGTGATATTATTTTATATTATATTTATAATAAAATGCGTTGGCAAGAAAAAAGATATATGATAAAATACAAAAATATATTAACGTGTTTGAAATGTTAACTAGAGTGCATTGAGTTTAATATGAACCACACAGTTCATAACTCATAAATTTTTGCATAAACAGGTTGCTTTAAATTTATTTTTTCAAAAAAATAAAAGAACAAGTTATCGCGAATATCTGAGGCAAAACGATGATGACAAGTGGTACTCGACTGGGGAACTCGCTGAAAGCCCACATCAGCGTGTCTCCATTCCCATGGCGTATCCAACAAAAGAAAATAGGCAGTAACATGCTATAGGACGTTAGACTAGTAACAGGAATTGGGCAAGTAAGAACCGTGAAACGTCATGTTAACGAACAAACCATTAAGTGTTTACAGAAGACTTGTCAACGCTACCACAGCGCGTGGGGAGTATCTTGGGACGAGGTCCATAACCCATAATTAATGCTCGCGGTCAACTAGAACCCGGTCTGGTCTACAGGGAAGACAAGACTGGGCGATCGCAACCCTTGATCACAGTATCATGGTCTCGTACCTGAAGCCACTGTTGATAGTAGTTCGGGGTTCCCCGGGAAACGGGAAATGAGTTGGAGTATTTAAAAAAAAAAATTGGGCAGAGAATAATCAACGCGCCGGGCCTGGATGTGGATGGGAGTCTCGTAGACTGAGCAACAATTTGGACTCTTTCCTTGCTTTTACTATTCCGATTCTCACCACCTCCACTGGTATTTCCGTGAACATTCCTCTTCTTAAATTTCAACTTTGCATGCTACTCTCGATTCCAACATCGCATATCCCACTATAAATGGACGTTCAGCAGAGCAAATTATCGGACCACCAAAATCTGAATCTTGCCTTTATAATTTAGCACATACGATTCCTTTCTCTGATGCTTGCTTTGCCCGAAAGTTTATATATAGCTTCCTTAATTACTATATATCTGCTAGCTTCAACATTTTCTTTAGCATTCCTTTGAAACATAAACACGCACCTAGAGATCCATTAAATGGAGAGAACAAAGTCATCCCTTCTTCAAATTCAACCCCCAACCTATGGAAACCTAATCACCATTCTCAGCATCGATGGGGGTGGTATCAGGGGCATCATTCCCGCTACCATTCTCGAATTCCTCGAATCTCAACTCCAGGTATAAATCTAAAATATATATTCGCATACATAGATGCACTTGGAACGCTCCCCGTTTGCTGTGGTGTCTCCTGCATGCGCTCTTTAATATATAAGGAGTATCATGTAGTACTAGTTCGGAATACAATAATTATTGTATTTGACATTTGTGATATAAATTTAATTTCACGTGTCTCCCTATATACTTGCTTTGTAGAAAATATATTAATTTCTAAACTATATATATTACATGACAAATGAATTTAAAGTTGATGTATAAAAAAATTATTTGTTGATGTATAAAATAATTATTTTAACAATAATTTGGACGGGCATGCAGGAACTGGATGGTGAAGAAGCAAGGCTTGCAGACTACTTTGACGTGATTGCAGGAACCAGCACGGGGGGTCTCGTGACCGCCATGCTCACTGCTCCGGATGAACAGAAGAGACCACTTTTTGCTGCCAAAGATATCAAGCCCTTTTACCTGGAGCATTGTCCAAAGATATTCCCGCAAAAGTATCTGTTGCTATCTATCTATCTATCTATCTAGAAACTATGATTTCTCTTTTCTGTTTTAATCAATGATAAACTGAAACCTAAATGATCTGGTTCTGATTTCTAACCTATACTTACGAATGAATTTCCAGATTCTCATTTGGACCGATTGGAAAATTGTTCAGATCAATGGCTGGTCCCAAGTACGATGGCGAATACCTTCACCAGGTGGTGAGACAGAAGTTGGGAGAAACTAGGTTGCACGAGACACTTACCAACATTGTCATCCCCACCTTTGACATAAAGGCGATGCAGCCAGCCATATTCTCGTCCTATCAGATCAAGAAGTCCCCTTGTTTGGATGCTAGACTATCTGACATATGCATTAGCACCTCTGCTGCACCAACCTATCTTCCAGGCTACCACTTCAAGAACCAAGATCCCGAAGGCAACGTCCGTGAATTCAATCTTATTGATGGCGGTGTCGCTGCAAATAATCCTGTACGTTGTATAAGTTAATATTCGCAAACAACGTGAAATTTGCCTCCCAGCAAACTAGTATTTTTAATTATATACATTTATATCGGATGAGCCCGCCTAATTAACTTTTGATTCTGTAATGATGCAGACTTTAGTCGCCTTGAACCAAGTAACGCAGCAGGTCATCGTTGAAAATCCTGACTTCTTCTCCATCAGGCCCATGGATTATGGTCGCTTCCTCATAATCTCGATAGGCACAGGCACAGCAAAGAATGAGCAAAAATTCAACGCAAAAATGGCTGCCAGATGGGGAGTGCTGGATTGGTTAACCCACGGCGGTTCTACTCCTTTGATCGACGTGTTTACCCAATCCAGTGCTGATCTCGTCGACTTCCATTTAGCCACCGTCACCCAAGCCCTTAATTCACAGGATCACTACCTTCGGATACAGGTAGGTATATATATATATATTCCCCCTTTCTAAATATTGCCTATCCATGCATTAATTAATGTGTGAATAAAGTTTAAAATCTATATATACTTCAATACGAAAATTTAATGATTCCTCACTGGTGGGGGCCAAATGCAGGACGATACGTTGATGGGTACGGTTTCTTCGGTGGATATTTCTACAGCAGATAATCTGGAGAAACTGGGCCAAATTGGTGGAGAGCTGTTGAAGAAACCAGTCTCAAGAGTCAATTTAGAGACGGGTCTCTGTGAACCCGTCGAAAATGGCGGGACCAATGAGGATGCCCTTAAAAAGTATGATATATATCTTAAGACAATTAATCAATACCTTTAGAATCTATTTGCTGGAATCAAGCAATTAAATATGCTTAGATTAAATAATTGAAAGTCTCTATTAATTGTTTCCATGTATATCATCCGCAGATTTGCCAAGATACTTTCCCAAGAAAGAAGATTGCGGGAAATGACATCTCCACATACGGTCAAGGCAGCAAGGACTAACAGATTGTCTATATAGTGTCCACAGTCACCGCCAGATTATTTGATTATTTCTCGTTGTTCTGTAATAGAATTAGTCAATTTGATTCGTTATATATTTATTTGATTTCCCTGTCCACTGTTCTGTTGAAGAAGGTATAATATTTTTCTTTCGTGCTGTAACGTTAATACTCAACTAATCATGTTCTTCAATAAAGCCCTAAATTGATGTCTATGTCAAAGTATTTTAATTTTTGTCATGAAAGTATAGCTTATATCAGTGTATAATATCTGGCTTTTAATAATGGTTTTGTCAACTTTGGGGTCTAATTTATGTCCGAGCATTCGAATTACCAGAATGCATTCCCTTCAAATGGATTCTGTCACTTAAGAAGATTTTGAAGAGATTTAATTATTTTTTCCAGTTCTATTTATATAAGTCACTTAACAAGTTTTTAACTTTATTTTTATTAAATATACGTATTTTAAAAGTAAAATATTTCAATATTTAATAACATTCTTGATATTTAATAAAAGCAAATGAGCAAAGATAATCACAATAATTATTGAGATATTTTATAAATAAAGCCAAAATAAATAAGGAAAATCACTCTAAGGTTCTATAGAATCATTCAAAATACGCCAAAGCCCCATGAAATCATCAAATAGTTGTCAGGTCTCCAAAAACTTAAGGATACATAAGTTTAAAGATGCAATTACTAATTTACCCTTTGGAATTAAAAGAAAATTTCGTGCACGTGTCTCACGTAATCAATGATCAATGATATTGTCAAATATCCATGATTGTTGATCAAAGTAGGGTAATTTTCACTTCCTCATATCTATGATTATTGCCCTTGTCTTCATCTAAGTGAATTGAGTGTGTTTCATCCATAACTGTAGGATTTCATCGAAAGAAAATAATACAGGGATTGCTAAATGGGAAAATAATTTCTTATGTGATAATGATTCCAATATTATTTAAGGATAGAATAATGCTTTATGGGTATACGTGCGATGGGTGTTCATATGGTTTGCATAGCTAATATAGTAATATGTATGGAATAATCCGGTGTGATATTGATATGTTAAAAAATCTATGATATGAATAACACTATATGTTGTCAATAGTGTATGTTTGTATTGTCAATATGTCATGGGTAGTAGTTAATACACGGTATTGTTCAGGTTAACATGTAAGAATGCAATTTCTTCTGAAAAACAAGTATCATGTTATGTTTTGTCATATAGGGGGACATTTTATAAATGATTCCCAAGCATCTAGTGTAAGCTTGATCTATTGAAAAATCTTTGTTATGAAATAATGCTACGTGTTGTTAACAATGGATGTTTATATTGTCATTATGCTATGTATATTTGTTAATGCACTAAATATGGTGCAAGTTAATATGTAAGATGACAAGTTGTTCTAAAAAACATACATTACGTTTTTTTCCATATGGGAAGACATTTTCAAAATGATAACCAATGAGTTGTATGCAAAATGTGGGTGGAAGTGTAAGAATAAGAAAAACAAAAGAAAGGATAACATATAAAGAGTTTATAAGAATGATAGCATCAATTATATTTATAGGGAATGAAAGAAATATAATCTAATTAAAATTCACAATTAGTATTGATACAAGCACACTTGAAGATCTAGTTGATGATGATGGAGAGTAACATTTAGAACAAAGTGAACATGTGTATGTAGTTGTAAATGAGAATGACACCATACAAACATCAATGGATTGCCCAATGAAAAAGCAACATGTGTAAGTTGTCTAAATTTTTTTGCTAATGTAGATAATGTTAAAAAGTACTATTACCAATGTTGTTATTGAATGTATGATTGATAATTTGTTAGGAGGTTTAGATGGATGGTTTTTGTTTCCACTAACTATCTATCCTAAGATGATTCAAGACTCACAAATTGCAAATTTGTCATTGTCTTTTAAAACTTTTTTACCCTTAGCTTTTGGGGGACTTGACATTTATTTGGTGATTTCATGAAATTTTTAGGACATTTTAAATACTTTCACGGGACTTCAGAGTAATTTTTCCAAATAAATATGCTCTCTTTTTTTTGTAAATAGGAACTAGAAGATTAAGTTTGAGCAAGTATTGATGCTAATTAATAGTAACTAAGAGAAAATGTAAAAATATGTGCATACACCCACCCACACGCGAGGGTGTTTGCCCGCGAATGAATTCGATCAAGTCACGAATGTATATACTTTAATTTATGGGTTTATCCGGAAATTAAAATCTACGTCCTGTTTATTTAGATATAGTTCGTACAAATCATATCTGTACACGAAAAGGAAAATCGTGAATGAAAAGGGACCCCTTTTTAGGTCAAAGAAAAGGGATCCTTTTTTAGGTAATTATTGCGAGGTTGACAAATTTTACTGGGGCTATTTATAATAACAGAGTCGGAAAATCAGTGACCCTCAAGGGCAAGAAATAAAATTATTATTCAATTCTAATTAGGTGGCAGGCAACTTCACCTGTATCAACTCAAGGAAAAATCAGCGTCCCCAGAAGCAAGAAACAGAGACGGTAATATTTGGCTGCTTTTGCCTTTTTGGGAGACACAGCAAGTCATGAACAACTTGCAAGCCCAGTTGGCAATTCTGGGGTCTATTACTATGGCAACCAGGAGCGTAAGTTGCAGAGCAACGAGAGCGCGTGAAACTGGCAACCCAGGACCAGAATTTACATAATGAAACCCCAATAACTGGTTCAAGCAAATGGGAAGGAAGTTAGGGGAAGATTTCAATGAGATTAAAAGACAGAAATTGAACGATTATTCAATAAATAACAATTCAATAAAAGTAATCGAGTTAAAGTCTTACTAAATTTGAACATAGCAAAATATATCTGACTACTCACACAAATTTAGACTATGATGCACAGCCGATGCATCAAAGAGGGAAAGAGAGGGAGGAAAAAAAAAACAAACTAAAGAACTGCTTATTCTGAAGTGTACTCTACCTGCAACTACCTATCTCTATTTAAAGTGAAGAAAGGCCATTTCCAAAAAAGGAAATCTAATCAGTAATAATTTGCTTCATTTTAGAGGAAATAAATTGATTGAAATGATCACCATTATTGCAGATATTACTTCTTCTTTTGTGATTCAATCAAAAATTAATCAAATTAATTTTAAATTTTGATCAACTTATCATTACCGGATTTATATCATATTCCACATATGGCTCATAAGGGCAGTTTTAATGCAAATTCCAGAAGAAATAAACTTGATTAATGTTTAGCCGAAAAAAAATTGATTGATGTTTATTTATTTATTTATTTTTTTACTGTTGTGTTAGTCACGGTACTGACTGCACAGCTGCGAGTAACGTGAATTATATATATGTATGTATAAAAATTGGTCTTCCAAGACCAAATTTACAATATAAAAGATAAAATAACTGTAAAGCATCACACCACACAGTCACACATAAAAATCCGGGCCCATATGGTGGATGGATGGAAGGATGAAAGTTAAGTGAAGTAGGAATATTATGCAGCCCGCCGCTGACTTCGTCTTCGTCGTTATCATTTCTAATACCTCCATTGAAGTTTCCCTATTAGTACTAGCTGCCATTCTTAGAGCTGGGAGTCCTGCACTGAATTGTCTGTCTCCTATCAATGGAAAGAGCAAAGTCATCCGTTGAACAAATCCAACCCCCGACTTATGGGAACTTGGTAACCATTCTGAGCATCGACGGCGGTGGCATTAGGGGTATAATCCCCGCCACTATTCTTGCTTTCCTCGAATCTAAACTCCAGGTGTGTGTGTGTGTCCACCGCCGCTCTTTGAGTAATTACGTATAGCTCTCGAGAAGCATTATGACTAGCATGTATCACCTCTCACATATATATAATTAAGCTGGGTCTTTACTTGCAGGAGCTGGACGGGGAGGATGCAAGACTTGCAGACTATTTCGATGTGATCGCAGGAACAAACACGGGCGGTCTTGTGACGGCCATGCTAGCTGCTCCGGATAAAAACAATCGCCCCGCTTTTGCTGCTAAAGATATCAAACCCTTTTATCTGGACCACTGCCCAAAAATTTTCCCTCAGCGCGGGTATAATAGTAAAAGCACTACATATTGATATATATGCTTCTGTTTAAAGTATCTGCGCGCGCTTAATTATAATTGATAATATTTGAGAAATTCATTGAAATTCGAGTTCATTTGAAAAGGGGGGTGTGCGCGACGGTGGTAGCAAAAGTAATCAGATCGTTGGGAGGACCCAAATACGACGGAAGATATCTTCACTGGATCGTCGGAGAGAAGCTGGGAGAAACTCGTCTGCAACAGACGCTTACCAACGTTGTCATTCCCACCTTCGACATCAAGACCTTGCAGCCAACCATTTTTTCTTCTTATCAGGTCTGTCTACCTCAGCCTCAGATTTCTGTGAAAGACTTTATTTTTGCCTTCGACTTACGTACAGGGGTAATAATTTAATAATTTCATCGGTCCTGTCTACTGTTAGCTACAACGACCTCGACTTTGGTACTTGAAAACTTTCCGAAGAAATTGATGACTAAGAAATAAGTACTTGTGTGTGTTCGTTTAGCTCTGACCTCTGTGCTAGCCGTGCATCCCCGTTCATCTGTAACTTTTGACGGGATATACTTTAATTATTTGATCAACGTACACCTAGGATTGACGGCCTTCACTGTTAGCTGGAAATCCTTTTCGAAATCTCCAAAAATCAGAGGAAAAAGTCTGCTATTTACTTGAGAAGAAGATTAATCAAATAAAAATAATTATCAAGAGCTAAACAGATTTCAAATTGATACAGATTAAGAGGAATCCTTGCCTGAACGCAAGACTCGCAGACATATGCATCAGCACATCGGCGGCGCCTACTTATCTTCCTGCCCACCACTTCAAGAACCAAGGCGCTGGCAAAGAACGTGAATTCAACCTCATTGACGGTGGCGTGGCTGCAAATAATCCGGTACAACACATAACTCAATATCCAACAAACTGATGCTTATTCAATTCAAATTTTACTAGTACACGAGTGTGCGTGGATTATTTATTATTTCTTATACTGGAAGCATCACTAATTATTGCGCAATTATACTATATTGTATTTTTCTCTCGGGTCCAGACTCTAGTGGCTATGAACCAGATAACGAAACAGATAATGGACGAGAATCCGGACTTCTACGCGTTGAAGCCCCTGGAAATTAGGCGCTTCCTAATAATCTCACTAGGGACGGGCACGCCCAAGAATGAGCAAAAATTCACTGCACAAGTAGCAGCCAAGTGGGGCCTACTGGATTGGCTATCCCACGGGGGCTCTACGCCTTTAGTGGACGTGTTCACTCAATCAAGCGCGGATATGGTTGATTTCCATGTAGCTACTGTCACTCAAGCACTTCAATGCGAAGATCATTATCTCCGAATACAGGTCATTTAAATTATAATTTTAGAGAGAAATATATATAGCATGATTAACAAGAATGAATTAATACTATAAAATCGGACGAGTTAAATTTGCTGAACACAACCACATATATATGCGCGCAGGATGATACACTGACGGGCACAGATTCTTCTGTCGACATTGCTACGGCAGAGAACTTGCGGAAGCTGGAACAGATTGGGGAAAGGCTGTTGAAGAAACCTGTCTCTAGGGTGAACCTGGAGACTGGGCAGTTTGAGCCAGCAGAAAACGGTGGGACCAATGAGGAAGCTCTCGTTAGGTAAGGAGAATGCCGACGGGTCAATCAATGGCTTTAATTTAAATTAGGTTTTAAATATTAAATTTTAAAAAATATATAATTTAATCTCTTAATTTTATAATTACGCTCTGATGAATTAACAATTTATTTTTTAAATTTTAATATAATTAAAGAATAAAAAAATTATTTTTTTATTAGAATTTAAAGTATAAATTATAAATTCATGAAATTTTACACTTAGGACCTAACTTGATTTGTTATTCTCCCTTATTATATTAAATATATTGTATTCTAACTCGCAGTTCACTAATTTCTGGTTTTAATTAATTCCTCAGGTTTGCGAATTTACTTTCCCATGAGAGAAGACTCCGAGATATGAGATCTCCACACACCAACAAGGCCTTGAGAAGCGGCGCCGTCGTCAAATTGGATGTGTCCGTCTAGCAGTTTCGATTCAAATTCTAATCAATTTATGGTTCAGCTTCATCAGTAAACTTATGGAATTTCATGTCCTTACTTTTCTCTTTAATTATTAGTATCCCATCTTCTCATGCAACGACTTTTCTTTGATTGGAAGTTTAATTTAATCAAATCCATGCCCGGAATAAATGCTGTCGGGATGATTTTTTATGCTTCTATATTTTTTTGTTTTACAAAAATTAATCTATCAATCTTTATAGATGCATAAAAGCAAATACCAATATGATCTGTGGACGGAATGTACTTCCTATACCATCGAAACCTAAGTTTTTTTTTGGCCAAAGTAAATATCAACAACTAACAAAACACTAATTCAAAATGAAAAAGATATATGTTAAGGGTGTGTTTGATTGAAAGTTTTTTTTTTTTAAAAAAGGAGGAGAGTTGCTTCATTTTGTTTATTTGGTTAGTGATTAATACAGAAAAGGGAGGAGAACCCCTTGCTTGTAACCCTTGGGATTCTTTGGAAGGGAGAAGAGAGAGAAAATAATTAAAATAAATTTAAATATTTATTTTAAAAATCTTGAATTACTTTTGATATTAAAAAGTTATGTATTATTTCTCCCTCTCTCTCTTATCATAAAATAAATTTTATCACCTTACAAAAATTAATATATAATTTTTTAATGTATAAAATTTTAATATTTTTCATTAGATTCACTAATAAAATATAATTTTTTCTTCAAATTGTTTTTATTAATATAAATTCACATTCTTAAAATAAAAACTTAATAAATTCTAATATAACAGTTTTTTTCAAAGCAAAAAATAAAAATGAGTTAAATTTGATAAAAATAAAATTGTTAACTTATTTTTGATTCCTCTCCCCTCCTAAACCAAACAAATGTTTATTAAAACCCTCTCCTTCCCCTCCCTCCATTAAAATCCCTCTCCTCTCTTCCCTGCCTTCCTCTCAAACCAAACACAATCTAAGGAACAAAACAAGAGAAAAATGAAGAGCAATATCTTGATCTTGGAAAGAAAACAAGCCGGAGAATGGGAGCGTAAAAGCCCAATTTAAAGATCACATCTCTACAGCCGAAGCACCAACAATCTAGTCTGCAGCCTAGTAGAGTCTTCTAAAGATCCCTTGAAAGCAAAGATTGCTTAAAGGCTCACCAAGATTAAAGAAAAAATCCACAGCGGCTCTGCTATCCCATTCAAGGAGAAGAAAATCAAATTAACACCAATAAGCACTAGTAAAGAAACATCCCGAAATGGAAGTTATGCATTAAGAGAAGATAAAGAGACTCCACACCCCCAATGACTACTGAAGTAGAAAACCAAACTCCTAGTAGAATCCATTTCTTATCTCCAATAATAATCCACATAATGAACTCAAAGAGACTAAGGTAGAAGGCCAATATATGATATAGCACGTTAAAACTCCCAGGCAAGAAAACAGAATCATTTATAGATTCCACTAACACTAATTCAGAACCAAGGAGAAAACTCAACCAACAATCATCAATGGATCTCATAAGAACATACCAAATCAGACCATTCAAATCCAAAGAGAAAAGGGGTATGGAAGGATAGTGCCATGAGAGTTCCAACTGCATCAACATTGCCACGGTCCCTAATAAGCTGACTCATCCATGAGAGCCGATTCCACCTTTGATTCAAAGCACCCAAGCAGCAAATAAAACTATGATGCTGACAGATCTAGAGGTACCCATCGAAGATTCCTAACCTCTAAATCAATGCATTGAAACCATTCTAAGGCACCACCAACATACTGTAGATTATCCTTCCTCTCCAAACACCGCAATCCTATTTTGATCTCCCCAACTCACACATGCTAATCCACGTGCACACCAACCCATAGAACAAAGACACCCATACCCTCTTACCCAGTGAGAGCTGAGAAGAGAGAAGCGATGATCTCATCATGAAAAAGAAAGGGTAAAAACTATTAGCAGAGCAAAGCTTTGCACCTCGGCAAGGACTGAGGGGCTCCTAAAAGGCGAGAGCATTCCTCTTTCAAGTTTACTTCACATATCTTTGATGTTTTTGAAACCTACATTGAATGATTAAGGAAGAATGACAAAAAATACCTTCAAAATATGTGAATGACAATGAGGTCTTGTAAGATGTGATAATTTTTTTCAAGTCATTTGGAACTTGTTTGTCTATAAAATTTAAACTAAAAAGACATTTTTGTCCTTATAAAAGCCCCTCCATTTGTTGCCCATTTGCTCCTTTATTATCTCCCATGAAAATGTTGAGAGTTGGACTATGAAAATCTGAGAAATTCAAAGTTAGAATAAAATATTAAGGCATGTCTTAATATTTCCATCCATCATTCAAATATTGAGGGTTTAAAGTTTAAAACATAACATATTTGTGATTAATTTCAATAACCTCTCACTCTATAAGTATCTAAAGCCCCTGTATGAAGCAATTCTTTTGGAGGCTTCCTCTCTGCAATTGGCCTTCAACACTGCAAGGTAAAGATTACTGAGTTAAAAGATGCATCAATCACAATTTAAAAAGAGCAGCCTGATCAGTGAGAAAGCTTATGCATGCGATTCCCGTTGACATAAAGTGAAAAAAAAATATTCCATTGAATGCATCTTCATCCTATAAATCAAAGGCCATGGCCAGGGGTGACGTCTTGGGAAGATCCAAAGGAGGGGATTGAATATCGGAGTGAGAAAGATACTTCCTTCTAATAAGAGAGAGAGAGAGCTAAAAAGGGAGGCAGTGAGGGGTGAAAATGTCTTTTTTACTTTAAAATTCATTGGCAGACAAGTTCTTAAGGACATGAGAAAAATTATCATATTTTACAAAATTTTATTGTCATTTACATATTTTATGGAGACTATCTCTCAGTGATTAATTATCCCAGTGATTAAAATAAATATTTTTTTAACTGGTCCCTGCAAGCATCCATCATCGTTTGCTTCAACAAAGTTAAGTGGAAAATGGACTTTTATTGGAATTGGATCCTCTCCTTTTCTTCTTTTCATCCTATTCTCACCCTTGGATTGAAAATTCAACGGTTAAGATTTAATGTTTTATAAAACCATTATAATAAAAACAATCAAATAAAAAAACAGATCTAGACCATTAAAATCTTATCTAAGCAATTTACTATTATAAAACTATAATCAAAATAAATAAATAAATAAATTTAATTAAATCTCAATTATTAAATTTTTAATTTCCCGGTGAGGATGGGATAAGGAGAAGAAAATGACAGGATCCAAATCCCTTTTTAATCATTACAAGAGGTCAATATAGGACATCCATTTATGCATCCTCCGCTGTTTCAATGATTTGTTAGACCATGAATATTACCAGCCCATGTGCAACTGATAGGCTCTCAAATCCCATATAGAAATGCATGTTCCCCGAACGGGGTTAGATAATGGGTAAAACTTTTTTTAAGAAAAAATGAACAAATAATTAGATCCAAAATAATAGGTTAGATGAATTGAACTGCAACTATATCTTTCTTGAGAGAATTATATACAAGGCTTACATGAAAAAAATTAATTATTATAAAATCTTTTAACAATTAAATTAAAATCAATGTATTGTCAATGACGTTGTTAATAAATTTTGTCATAATTAATTTTTTTATATAAAAATTTAACATAATTCTCCCATTATTCTTTCGTCCCTGCCCAACAAAATAGTGGGCACGTGAGCGTAGCCCCCACCATGTGACGTCTATGGCAGGATACCAGATTTTAATGTTTTTGTTTTGGCAACCAAACAAAAACATTGGACGAATTTCAGCCATTTAAGTGAGTGACGATATAAAGGGGAGTTATACTGTCGCCATCAGGATTTCTGCCTCTCAATTTGTTTTTATGTATTCATTAATTTAATATGTTAAGCATATAAAGTTTATTGGATAGACATTACTTAAACGTATAGTTTATTTCATTTCATAAGTCACGATGTATGTAAAAAAAAAAAAAAAGGACTCACATGGGACCCATATTTAACTGGTGATCCTGGTAATCATATTTTATCGTGATAAACAAATTAATTTCATACGTTACTATTTTAATAACCATATCTTTTCTTTAAATAAGAGAATTTCAGGTCAAAATTTGTTTGATGTAATGTTGACATGGACATAAGTAGGTTAATATAGAGTCAATTTTGACTCAACTATATTTTTTCAGTTTATTCCTCATTAGTTTTGATAGTATAGCTACGAAAAGATAAGTTATTTTTCAGGGAAAAAATTTGACAATCGAATTTGTACATCTGTTGTCATGCTGTAAAAATATTTTTTTAATAAAATGTAAAAATATTATTAGATGGTGTATGTAATAATAATATAATACCTAGAATTTGATTATCAAATTCAATTTTCATCACAATCATCAAAACCTTGAGCACACTTCTTTATGATTTTATTGAATGACAAACACTGAAGTACACGTACATAAAATTCGCAGCAAATACAGACTTGCACCTTGTTATAATTTTTTCTCTTTAGAATTACTATTGTTAGGTAAAATAAACGGAAGAAGGAACGAAATAGAGACTAATTTTATTACATGACAAGGGGAAATGATTTATCCAATGGTCGCACGTGCAGAACTAGATAGACAAATTATGGGGCCCTGTTGTCTTGCTGTTGTTGGCGTGCGGAGATCTCTTTTCCCGTAGTCTCCTTTCTTGTGAAAGTATTTTTGCAAACCTGCGAACAATTAATACAGATTTTAAATTGTTTGAGTAAATATAATTTTTTGATCAGCTATGAATTCTACAGGTATGGTGTGTGTATATATATATATATATCATACTTTTTGAGAGCATCTTCATTGGTCCCTCCATTTTCGACGGGTTCAAACTGTCCAGTCTCTAAATTGACTCTGGAAACCGGTTTCTTCAACAGATCGTCACCAATTCGGCCCAGTTTTTTCAAATTCTCTTTTGTAGAAATATCAACCGAAGAAACTGTACCAGTCAACGTATCATCCTACATTTTGCCCCGTCAACAGGAGAATTCAATTTTCACATCGAAGTATATATATTTTTAATCTTATCCGCGCATTATATATAATATATTGTATATACCTGTATCCTAAGGTAATTATCCTGCGAATGAAGGGCTTGAGTGACGGTGGCTAAATGAAAATCGACGAGATCGGCGCTGGACTGTGTGAACACGTCTATCAAAGGAGTAGAGCCACCGTTAGTTAACCAGCCCAACATTCCCCATTCGGCAGCCATTTTTGCGTTGAATTTTTGCTCATTCTTAGCTGTGCCTGTGCCTATTGAGATTATGAGGAAGCGACCATAGTCCATGGGCTTGATGGGAAAGAAATCAGGATCTTCATTGATGACCTGCTTCGTCACTTGGTTCAAGGCAACTAAAGTCTGGATCACCATGGAATAATTAATGAAATTTAGTCACGGATATGCATCTAATATAAATGTATAATTGAAAAATAAATTAGTGGTGGGTACAAGTTTGAGTTTGTTCATGAAACGTACGGGATTATTTGCAGAAACACCGCCATCAATAAGGTTGAATTCGCGGACGTTGCCTTCGGGATCTTGGTTCTTGAAGTGGTGGCCTGGAAGATAAGTAGGAGCAGCGGATGTGCTGATGCATATGTCAGAGAGTCGAGCGTCCAAACAAGGGGACGACTTGATCTGATAAGACGAGAATATGGTTGGCTGCATCGCTTTTATGTCAAAGGTCGGAATGACGACGTTGGTGAGTGTCTCATGCAATCGAATTTCCCCCAACTTCTGTCTCACCACTCGATGGAGGTATTCGCCATCGTACTTTGGACCTGCCATTGATCTGAACAATCTTCCAATGGCTCCAAATGAGAATCTGCATGTGCACCATTCGTGTCAGACACTAGACGGATCTACTTGCCCCCTTCAATGCTATCTCTTAGATATAATAAGGGAAAAATTTCACTTGCCCCCTCCAAAAAATTGTCATTTGCCCCCTCCCAAATTTTGCTCTTGCATCACTTTAATTTTTTAAAAATTTCAGTTTTCACCACCTTAACATTTTCTCACTCATTCAATCAAGGAAGTTAATGTTACTTGTATGCTAAATTTGTAGGAGATTGGGATATTAATTTGAGCAACTAAAAATAATGTTGGCTCATATTATATAAATGTAATAATATAATAAAATATTATTAAATATTTTTTCAACCTCTCAACTAAAATACTAATCTTTATTTTCTAAAAGATAATGAATTTAGATTCTTTAACTTTTAATTTCTACTCCTGCATACTTGAAGGTATTACCTTCTAATAAAGTAGAAGATAATTTAAATACCTGTAAGCAAAAGTGCTTACATTTAGTGTTGAATAGTGCTTTATGTTTGATTTCCAACCAATAATAGAAGAATACCTATAAACAATAAAAAATAGAAAACTAATGTTGTTTAATTGTTTATATTAAAAATATTGATTCTAAAAGAGTAGAATTATTTTTATAAAAAAAAAGAGCACTAGAGAGAATGATATTAATAACTACTACTTATTAGTTTATCCTTTTCTATAAAAATATAAAATTTTCTTATATTAAGATAATTTTATTTTTAAATTATTAAAATTTTATAGTTGTTTTATTTTTTAATTTTTTATATTGAACATATTTATTCTAGAATAGTAGAATTATTTATATAAAAAAAGAGCATCACAGAGAATGATATTAATAGCTACCACTTATTATGTCATTTTCAATACAATATAAATTTTTCTTATATTAAGATAATTTTATTTTTAGATTATTAGAATTTTATAGCTGTTTTATTGTTTTTATGTATTTACTTTTAAATAAAAATATTTTATATTTTTTATTAATATAAATAAATTATTATTTTTTATTAATTTAATAAATAGTTAGAATTATATTTCAAAAATATTAATATTTATGTGATATAAATTTTGCCCCCACAAATAAAATTTCTTAGGTCCGTCACTGTGTCAGAGTCAGGCCGTACGTGCAGGGTTGAGGTTTAAACAGAAAGCGACATTATATTAGAGTTTTTTGTATACATACTTTTGTGGGAATATCTTTGGGCAGTGCTCCAAGTAAAAGGGCTTGATATCTTTGGCAGAAAAAAGTGGTCGCTTCTTTTCATTTGGAGCACCTAGCATGGCGGTGACGAGACCACCCGTGCTGGTTCCTGCAATCACGTCAAAGTAATCTGCGAGCCTTGCTTCTTCACCGTCCAGCTCCTACATTCACGTCCCGATCGTTATAATTGATAGGTTTCATTTATCCATCAACTATCAATTTCATAGCATTAATATGTGTAGAAAGTTCATATATTTGCTATGAACATTAATTATGCGTGTATGCATTGTCATTAAAACAAATTTTTTTAATATAATACAAAAATTGTTGTGCTGCGACACAATATGATATTCTTGCTTGAAAGACCATGCACGCATGCAAGAGACATCACATCAAGCGAGCGCGTTCCATATAGATTTATATATACCTGGAGTTGAGATTCGAGGAATTCGAGAATGGTAGCGGGAATGATGCCCCTAATACCACCTCCATCGATGCTGAGAATGGTGACTAGGTTTCCATAGGTTGGGGGTTGAATTTGAAGAAGGGACGACTTTGTTCTCTGCATAATTATGGATCACTGCTGGGAAAATGGAAAGCAAGTGCGAGCTTATACCGAAATGGATGCTAAAGAAAATGTGGGAGCTTGCAAGCTGCAGATGGTAAGGCAGTTAGATGTAAGTTTTTGCTCAAGACAAGTCTCGAAAAGGAGTTAAATTTACCAAAGGAAAAGACTCAGGTTTTTTGTCATTCGGTTTCCTCCACTCAACGTCCTATTTATCGTGGCACATGCGAGGTGCGATACAATCGTGTAAAGGTTCGAATTAAGAGGAAAATGTTGAGGGACATACTTTTCAACGAGGTGGTGAGACTGAGAAGAACGGGAATGGTATGAGTATGGAATGTGTCAAATATGCACAGACCAGTCCTTTGAGAATTGAGATGCATATCCGATACACATCAAGTCCCGGGCGTTGAATATTATTCTCATGCTCGAATAGCGCTTTTTTTTAAAAAAAAAAAATTATTTGCAGTGCTTTGCCGTTAGTTGTGGAGCACCAACAGACGACTATACGGCTGCGTCGTAGATTAGATTAGTGATTAAGGATGGCAACAAGTTTCCTCCGAGGCCAGGTTTTAGTTTGCTCCGCAAGCAATAATTCTCATCCAATAGGATAGTCCCCACGCGCCTGTGCTCTCGTTGGCCCAAAAAAAAAAAAAAAAACAAAACAAAACAAAAACAAAATAAAAGACGCCCTGTCTGTTTTTTTTTTTTCCTTTCGTACTTCTTTATAAGTGTTTGATATCCTATATTAATAAATGAGATTTCTTTAAACTATTTTTTAGAAGATAAAAAATTCTTCTCGATTAGTGATATGTTAATGGAAGGAAATTTTTGCTTCTTTAAAAAATAATTGATAAAAAAATACTCCATTTATTAGTACTCTTTGAAAGAAAGAATAGTAGGCAAATGCATTATAACCCCAATAATAATAACAGTAATATTTTTAAATAAATTATAAAATATGACCTCATAAGAACATTAATAATGATTAAGTCCTTTATCTTTTAGGTCATTTTCTATAGCTTTTTTGTCAATTAATGGTCTTTCTTTAAAATATTGTACCATCCAAATTAGTATTTTGATATTTGCAAGTTTGTATTAACCTCCAAATAAATGGATAAAATTAATTTTTTTTTGAATTTGTAACTTATTTTTTAATTTTAAAATTGGAACATGCAGCATCATATGAAAATATCAATTAAGAATAAGGGACACTTCAATTATAAATATCTATTAATTTGACTGTTAGTTCACTAAAAAATTTATAGAGAATGACCTAGAAAATTTAAGATCATTATTAATCAATATTAATTTTTTAAAAGATCATTTTCTTAAAAAATATTAAATATTTTAATAATTATTATTATATTTTATTTTAGCAAAACTTTAAGATATTCAATACTCCTAAAAAAAAGTTCAACGATAAATTAATACTAAAAGATATGTTACATCAGTATAGCAAAGTTAATAGATTATGAATGAAGAAGATTTTTGCTCCTCTGTAAAATAGTTTAAAAGAAAAATATCTCATTTATTAGTATAAGATACCCATCAAATGTACTTTAACCAACTCTTGTTATTGTTTTGGCTGTGTCTAACATAGCATGACGTGGAGTAATTTTTACATGCTGTACAACACTATTTTCGTTAATACTAGCGCGATTGCTTTTATCCTATAATGTCATATTTTTTGCACTATATGATGTCAATGAATGGATGAATTAGTTTTTTGCACTGCGATGTAAATGAATGGCATGGATGAAATAGTTTTTTTAATAAGGAATTAGGAACGGATGAATTAATTTACAGCAACGCGTTTTATGCAAAAGTTACGTGTAATATTAACTTTAATTTCCTCTTAACATTAGTCTCATGTGGTTTTGCATTTGTGTATTTACGTTTTTAAAATTCATTAATTTATTTATAAATATATTCCTATAACTGAAACTATATATAGTAGGTCAATTTCGTGAAACTGGTGTTAAAATTTAATTTAGTCGACGGTGGCTAAGCATCAGTCATGGGGCTATAATTAATTCCAATTACTATAATGATGACTTCCCCTTCCAGTTTTTTTAAATAATTAATATTCAATTGATCCACCAAGTGATCGCTAATGCCCAAACCCAAAAGTTGAATGAGAGAAAAGCACAGGAGAGCAGAGAGAAGGAATGACAATGCGATTTTGGAGTTTTTTTTTTTTTTTTTTTCCGGCGGGGGGTCATTGATTCAATTCGTCTCAGAGATGTAAAGGTGTTTCCGCGGAGCTGTGCGATTTGAATGATTGAATCGGCAGCCAAGTATTATATGTGATATGGTGAGCAACTTTATTGGAATGAATTGATTTTCACCCTCCATATATTTTAATTTCGAGACGTGTGTGTGGTTGAATTGGCTTAAGGCAGCGTATTGGATGAAAAGTTTCGCCTTTATAGATGAACTCTTTCCTGACTATGCAACCGTACTATATACTATATACTTAATATTATACTGTTTTCACGTGGTCAGAACATTATTCTGTCATTAATTAATAATGGCCGTTGTTCCGGCATGGACCTCCCAATTGGAGCCCTGCACTTGACCAAGTTCATGGGAGTGTAGAATTGATCTTCAATTCTTAATATTGTAGCGGCTGCATAAACTTCTTTAACTGAGCAATAAACGCCAATCTTGACTTCCTATCGATGGCAATTTTTTGTTTATTCCATTCTTCCACTAGGTTGTCATCATTAGCATCACCAAGGTTTTTTGGGGAGGGGCTCAAAAGCTGAAAGAGAGAAGACCTGAGGAATATGGATCGATAGAGGATGAATGATTCATAATAAGCGTTTAATTTAGTCATTCATTTCGGGAATGATAGATGATTATGTGAGAACCTGTGTGGTAGCTTGTGCAACAATGAATAATAGCGAACTGGTGAATCGGAGTGGTCTGAAAAATCTCCCCTTCAATCCTATATACACAAGTCCTCTTCTAGAAGCAATTTATTATCCTTCTCATAATTAAGTCACCTTACACAAAAAGTTGGATCATTAATTACTTTCTTTTAATTTTATCCTTTCACAATTTTTGATGAGTAAAATGTTATATAAAATAAAAATAAAGATAATACATTTAACAAGAGCAAATAGAAATAATTGATTTTGGTGAGATAATTATAAATAATTTATAAATAAGACCTGAGGATAATTAAGCTTTTGACCGTTGATCAATTTCTGCATTCTGGGTTATCCCACATGTCATTTGTCATGTAAACCAGCCAGTCTACTTAGCACTACAAAACCCACATGTAATATCAGCGTAATCATCACCAGATGCATGACTCGTATCAACCAGTCAGTTTGCACAGCAATACAGAGTCAGGAATTAAATATCATTGGATATGCCAAATAAAAGGGCATGTTTGGTTTCTGTTTTTAAAAACACTTTAAAAGAATAAAAAATTTGTTTGAATGAGTATTTTAAATCTAATTATTTTCAAAACCATTCTCATTTTTGTTTTTAAAAATAAATAATAGAAACATTTTAAAGCTGTTTTTCATTTAGTTACCTAGATCGATAATTATCATAAGCCACCACCATTAATTGCCGATGATATCACTCTCAACCAATTTTTTAATTTTAAAACTATTTTTAAATTAACACAACTAAACAAATTTAATTTTTGTTTTGTTTTAAAAAATTATTTTAAAAATTGTATTATGAAAAAGTTTTTTTAAAAAAATAAAAGTAAAAATCAAACTGGCTCTAAACCAATTAATCAGTGGCCAAAATGAACGATATAGAATATCGATCCATATGTGCATAATGCATTGCAATGATTGAATTACTCCATGTTGTGATTTATGAAGCAGCAGTGAGCGGATGATGTTTTAAATTGCCTCTATATATAACTATATATATTGAATACCATGTTTAACCATGTTTTTCAATTAATCGGAATGATCTCAAACCTTCTATCCTTACAAAAAAAAATGCATTTCTTTAAAATTATTTTCTTTCTTTTGGTACTAGTTAATTAACTTCCCCTCGCACTGGCCCAAACAAAACGAAAAAAGAAAAAATGGAAGCTCGTTTCAAATCAATCTTAATTTTATCATATCGCCCTTCTGGAGATTATAAAAAAAAAAAAGTAAATTTCATGACTCAGAGAAAATACTTATAAATATTACCGAATAGAGTATCTATTACAATCAATGTAATAGAACTTCAACCCTCACACACTTTTATAGGCTGGTAACTAAATCACTTTTATTGACAAACAAATAATTTATACTCTGTCTGTTAGTGTTATCAAATATGGAAAAAAAATAATCAGTTCATGCAATTTAGGAAAATCTGTTAAGTATCATAATTTTATTTGATGAAATTAAAAAAATTGAACTAAATTATCCCTATAATTAATGAATCAACAAATTTCTACCCTGTAAAAATAAACATTAATTTTATGAGGAACAATTTGAAAAATGTGTCATAAATACTTTTAAAAATTTGTAGTCTTGATTATAAATAAAAATAAGATTAGAGTGTACTTTTAGTCCTCTAACTTTATATAATATTTTAATTTAATCTTTTAATTTTATAAAGTATCTTTTTAATCATTTAACTTTAACATCGTTAGGATGATTTTGGACTTTTGGTGGTGAAGGAGGAGGTGTTTTAATGGTCAAAGATTTTTTTGAGAATTTTGATAAAAGAGAGACTTGATAATCTTGAGGCTTTTAATAAAGAAGTGGATTTTACATGAGTCCTTTGAAATGAAGTGCTATTCTCTTGATTGTAAAGACTTGCAAAAACATTTTCAATAAATGTTTGAAAAACATGATATGCTGAATAGCGATAATGATATCAACCTCAAACATACATGTATTGCTTTGTGTAAATCATCATTATTTTAAAAAAATTAAACTCAATATATTAACATTTAAAAATATTTTGTCAATATTTAAAAGTTCAATGTAAAAATTTATTAGGATAAAACTAACAATATTAGAGTTAAATCACTAAAAAAAAACTCTATAAAACTAACATTAAAATGAAATATTGTGTAAAGTTAAAAGATTAAATGTATATTTTAGCCTAAAAAGAAAAAAAAATATGGTAGTTTCTCTTGCATATTTCAAAACAGAAAGAATATATATGCCTGAAATTGAGGATTATACATGATCAATTTCATCAAAACTCCACG